GTAATTGGGAGATCGAGGTCCCTCTCTTATTTGACTCATATATATAAGAACCAAGTTGTAGCAGTATATCCGTTGAACAAGACTTTGCAGTGATGACAACCTGGCCAAAAAAAAAAGAAGACTTAGAGATGGTACCTCAATTGCAATATAAATATGGACAAACCAACGAGTTAATAGCTAGGCAACAATTAGAATGGAGGCCAGTTGGAAAAAGGGGTCTCTGCTTCTATTCTTCACCGCCGTTTTGCTCTGCATCGTCTTCCTTTGCTCCCCACCGGCACCGTCGTCAGTGGCTCCAACCATCACTGCTTCACTCCCCAGTAAGTACATATCGATCCTTTTTCATGAATTCGGTGCTTAAAACTGTGACCGAAGTAAGAAAGAACCGGTGTTCTTAGTACTCTGTTATCGTGTGGGGGGTTTTGCTTTTGCAGAAGGGAATGGGAGGAAGATGTTGATGAGGGGAATTGGTAGGGAGATGAAGATTGGCGTAGGGGGAAGTAGTTCAGGTTCCGGCGGTCACGGCCACCACCCACACAACAAGCGCTACTTTTGAGATCCATTTTATGGACTTCTTTCATTTGTAACAAGGAGGGATATTGGGCGACAAATGGCTGGTCAATACACTATTGGAATTTACTTTATTCTCGTTCGTCCTTACGCGCGGCTGTCAGTACACTCAATTTCTCTTTCCATTTTGTCTTTATGGAAAAAAAAAAGTCTAATCTTTATTGAAATAAGAGCTAATACCGCTAAAAATATCAACATTTAGTGATATTGTCACTTATATTACGTAATTTTCATATATCATTTGTATAATAAACCGTCTCTTTGGTTAAGTTTTTCGTTAGAGGTTAACAGAAAACATGATCAGCATACAAGTGGTAGCAAACGTAGAAACTTGTTATTATTAAAAAAATTAAATATGCATTTCCAATTAAATAATGGAAAGTAAAGCCTTGCTAGCATCAACCTCGCCACTAAGCAGTCATTTGGAAGTTGCGATTATTACTTTGATGTAGTGTTGTGAATCATGTATTGTCGAATTCGATGCATTGTAAAATATAACGTTTGATATGTGTGATTGTGTATGTCAAATCGGTTAAAAATTAAGATAAAACAATATGAACTCAACTATCTCAACAATCTTTGTTGTTGCGATGCTAGAGCGATGCTCCTTTGTGGCGGTTTTGGCCGTAACTTTAAACTTGATTTTCTATTAATAAATCGATGTCACCGTTAAAAAAAAACAATCACTATTTTTGTTTTTGTTACATTACATAAACAATCCATGTATTGTGTATGCTAAAAAATTAAAACTGAAACCGAATTAAACAGAACCAAGATCGAAATAATGCTATTCGGTTCGGAATTCAAAAGTAAAATATGAATATTTCGAAAACTAAGGTTCTTTCAACCGAACCGAATTTTCAACCGAAATACTATAATTGTAAGCTCCAAATGATGGATTTTATGTTTGTAGTTATTTTTAGACGTAAATATTCGAAATATTTTATGACTTATGTGTTGAAAAGTTTGATTTTATCATTGATTATGCATATAATTGCATATTTATTGCTTATATTAGGGGTGAAAACTAATTCAAAAGTGAGAAGATACAAATAGCCTCACAAATTTGGTTTTGTGTGAAAACCGAACCGAATTATGATTAGGTTTAAACTAACCGAACCGAATTATAATTAGGTTCGAATTTGATTTGTGGTTTGGGAGATTCGGGGACCCGATATTCATAATTTTGGTTCGGTGACCGAATGCCCACCCATTATGGGTTGATCTAATGGTGATATGTGTATGAGAACATCCATCACACTTTGGTTCGAACCTTGGGGCCAACCAACGAAAAAAGTATACTTAAAATATCACAAAAACAATCACAACCTCCACACCACTCTCTAAATTAAGGTTCTATCCACTGTTAAAGCTTAATCTTTGGTGCAAACTGAAAATTTATTGATTAATCAAAGGAAACAATAAATAGTCTTTAGCTCAGCCACCAGACTCGGCATTGAGCAGCAAACCTCAATCACATGACCCCTGAAAATAAGCAACTAACAAACTAACTCATGTTTCCAGTATTAGGGCTGGGCAATGGGCGGGTTGAGTGGGGTTTAGTCCCAAATTGACCCACCCGCATACTAGCGAGTTGGAATAATTGTGACCCGCAATCCACCCACATACCTCTGCGGGTTGGGTTGGGTGGGTGGCAGATGGGTGCGGTTGGGTTGTGGGTCAACCCGCAAAAGCATTCTCCAACTAGTCATTAAGAAATTTGAGTAACATTTATAATTAGTTCATAGCAAATTAGTAAGAATGTATCAATAATTTATGATTTTGACATAATTAATAATTTATAGTTTGCATTGCAATATTTAGTTGGTATTAACAATAATTTCCATACCAATATCCAATAGATATTGCACAACACAAAACCAATAATAGTAGTCAAAACTATTCTTTATTCTCCACCTTTTAAAGTATATGGTCAGACACTCACACTGTAGTGTAGTTCAAAAATATTATGAATATTCTATACTATAAGAAACAACATTTTTTCATGTAAAAATAGGATGTGGGTCATACGGGTGACCCGCAATCCACCCACCACCCACGTAAGTGCGGGTGAAAGATTTATCAATCCGCAATCCACACACATCAATCACCCATTGCGTGCGAGTCGGGTTATTTGCGGATGGATCGATATCAATCCGCGGATTAACCACCCACATGCCCACTCCTACCAGGTATCACTAACAACTGGATCTAACTGACACAAATAAAAGGACTAAATAAGACATTGACCAAGCGGTCTCTATTTGAAATGAAACACTCTTCGCCACTTCGGCCTTCGCGCCACTCCAACCTTGGTTTGAATTCAAACATCAAAATCCTCCCCTGAACTGAATTTCCTCAACAACCTTCAATTCATAGATCTTCATCTCCATTTATGCAGCATCACACATATCAAGCTAAGTCCTCAGCAACTAAAAGCCTTCAAGTTTCATGTTTTTCTGAATTTCAAAGAAGCCAATCGTCTTACATACATCAAACCATAAATTGTCAATGGAGGGCTCCATTTGCCTAAATTTGTTCATGATGAGGGAGCGGCATGGTGTATGAACTGCTTGGTAGGTCAATTTTTGAGCACAATTCCATCGTTGATGGTATTGCGTCGATGGATGAACCGTATTTGGGGTAGGGATGGTCTGGTTAGAGTTTTCTTACTAAGCAATCAATTGCTTCTTATTCAATTGCCATCGCAGTCTACTTGTGAATGGATTTTGGATAATGCTTCGTGGTTTTATTATGAGAATCTACTCTATCAGCGCCCATGGTCGATAGGTATTAGCGTTAAGGATTTGGGTTGACAGGCACTGCCTATTTGGCTTCGTCTCTCGAATGTTCCATTGGAATATGTGAATTTTCACGAGTTGAGTCAGATTGGGAGCTGGGTAGGTTTTCAATTGGATGTTTATCATTCTACTAGGGTGGGAAGACGATTTGGTCATGCTAAGGTTTTGGTTGAGTTGCAATCTACAGGGGAATTCCCAAATCATGACACTATTTGGTCGGATGAGGAAGGACCGTTGAAGGTGGGGGGGGGGGGGTGGAGTATTGTTATCTTCCGCCAATATGTAAGGGATGCAGGCCTTTTGGGCTAGAGTGTGGACGTCAAGAAAAATGAGAATGTTAGTGTGAATGGAGTTGTAATTCAGGAATTGAGGGAGGATGCAGTGACAGTTGTGAAGGGAAAAAGATTCAAGTGTTAGAGAAAGTTTAATTAGTGCTCTGTGAAAAGGGAAGGCTGAAGCTAGTAAGATACAGGTAATCAGTATATACGGAATGAAGTCTCTAAAGAGGTTTCATTCCGGGATGAAGTAGTTTAGGAAACTCCTCCAACGCATTTTCCATATGAGGTTGATTTACAAAAGGTGGTGAATGGGGCAAGGCCGAGAATACTTCAACCTGCTCCATTACCTGTATCTGCTAGTTTCCTGAGTTCCTTTGAGATCCTCAGAAATCTGGATGAGCGGGAAGACTTGAAGGTGCACGATGTTCCGAAGAAGGGTGGTAAAAAGGAAGTAAAGAAGAGGGGGACTAGGTCTCCAGCTTCTCAATTATAGTCCTAGCATGTTGGTCTTTCTTCAAGTCCTACGTAGTCAGGAAGTTGATGTTGTGGCTCTTCTGGAAACCAGAGTTCGTTAAGCAAAGACTCTGGATTCAGTTAGTGAATTTGAAAGTTAGGAGAGGTGTTTGAGTTATGATTCGTCTGATTTGGAAAGGATTTGGCTGTTGTGGCAGCCTACAATTAAACAACATGTCCTTAAACTGAGTAAGAACTTCTTACATACTCTTATACAAGGGGATGGGGAGTCATTTTTCTTCACAACGGTTTATGCAGCTAATGGTGATAAAGAAAGACAAAAAACCTTATAGATAAATTGGTAGATTGAAGGTAAATAATTTTGCGTGGATGGTGAGTGGAGATATTAATATAGTTAAGACATCCTAATGAGGCTTCCAACCAAAGAAGCTTCACTAATAGCATGAATGATTTTAATTATTGGATAAATGATATGGAACTTCTAGATTACAAAACATTAGGTCCTCTGCTTACTTGATCAAAGAAATAGTTGGATCGTCCTATTGCTAAGAAGCTAGATAGATCCTTAGTCAATAAGGATTGGATAACAACTTTCCTAGATAGTAGGATGGAAGCTATTATGGCTCCTTTTTTACATCATTGTGGAATTATTGTTGCCACAAAGCCTTCCCTGAAGCCGCTACCTAAACCATTTAAATATTTTGAGTTCTGGTCAGAGCATCCAGATTTCTTGTCTATTGTTGAAAAATCTTGGCCAAAGGAAGTTGAGGGGTCTCCTATGTTCATTCTCAAGGAAAAACTTAAGGCGGTCAAGAAGGCTTTATGGAAGTTCAATAAAGAGGCTTTTGGAGAATTTCCTAAGCATGCAAATCTAAGACGGTTTTCGAGATTGAGAAGGTTCCCCATGAAGATTTGCATCCTGATTACGCTTATGAAGAGGCTGATATGTACATATTTCGTAAGAAAAAGAAACAGCAGTAGCTGAATCCGCGCAACCTTGCTGGTATGAAACTCTCTTACTTCTTCCTCTTTTTCTTAAGCAACGACTCCTGGTTTTGCATTTTGTACTTTACTTCAGTAAAGTTTTAATCTTTTAGAAGCCATAGATAGTAGTAGGAGCTTATGCAGACACAAATATATCAGGTTTAGCGAAATTTTATTTGAACAAGAACATTGCTATTCAACATGGTTGTTTTGGATTTTTCATACTTTCATTTGATGCTGATTAATATATATACTGATGACCCTATTAGTATTAGGATCTTCGTTAGAGCTCTGCACACTCGCTCACAAACAAGATATGAGAAAAGGGCATTTTGGGTTATTGTTAATGAATGATGATGCAACAGCGAAGTTGTTTCGTTCTTTTCTGAAATTTATGAATGTTGCCTTTGCATAGGGTTCATTATTGTTTCTCTGCCCTTGCGGTGAGGGACTGAGGGTGGAAAAGGATGAGCGGATTTGGTGCAGATTGTTCCATGTTGAGGTCACAAGACATTTACTCGTGAGGGATTTGTGCTGGCAAGAGATCACCCAGCAGCGAAGGAGGGATTGAATAGCACTTGATCCGTTGATTGAATCTTAGATGCATACCAGTGGAGGCTGAGGCAAGAGCTATCCCAGCTGGTTAAAGAGAAACCAATCGAAGGGATGGAGTCCATTGATTGTGGAATCTGATTGTCTGAGTTTGGTTTAGTTATTGGAGAAGGATGATGAGGATCGTACTGAGTTGGGGGTGTGGTGCAAGGAGATAAGAGATTTGGTGGAAGTCAACCCGGCCATGTCTGGTAAGCAGGTTGAGTGGGCTTTTGTGCCTAGAAGCTCAAATTCTGTGGCCCATTGTTTGGCCCATATGAATACTCATTGGAATCAAATTTGTATTTGGACTGATTGTCCACCAAACTCCATTAGGAGTCTTGAGGCTGAGAAAGCCCAAACTGTTGAGATTTAAACAATAAAATTTACAGGGCTTCCTTTCAAAAAAAAAAAAAGGTCAGCTTGATGAACTATGTTGTCGACCTGATAGACCATGTAGTTGACTTGATTGTTTATGTGATCAACCTAAGCAACCTTTGTCAGGAACTGGTAGGAAAGAATCAGATTGAAGGCGTGATTAATCACTCTCCTTAGAGTGTTATTTGCCCCCACTACAAATTGCTGGTAGGCTCAAGCAAACCACCCCCAGGAGTCCCTTCAATTTTAAGTCTAGAAGCAGCAATCTTACAGACTTCTGTGTTTGTGAAATAGAGAAGGAAAACCGAAAGAAGAAGTTATCTCTCGTCACTAAAAGTGTTATGGCAGTCATCTATTTATAGTGGTGAAAACTGGAAGTTATCTTCCGAAGAGACACAACCTTTCACATAAAAGGTAGTTGTCTTTTCTGAAAGGACACATCCTTTCACAGAAAAAAGGGAGTTACCTTTCTATTTTTTTTTTTGACAAAGGAATTACTTGCATTGCTCTTTGAAAGAAAAGTTACAAGGGAAGCCAAACAAAGAAGCCCAGAAAAGATCAAGGCAAGCCAAACACAAGCACACGGTTGTACAATCTGTGTTAAAGAAATACAAAAAGAGAAGAACAGAACACAGAAAATATCAACCCAAAACATCAGCAACACTTGAATCAGATCCAGAAGACACCGAAAGCTGCCTTGCAAACAAACCAATCAAAGAGCACCAAGCAAAATCAGCTCGCCCGATCCGACCAAGTCCATGACAATTGAATACAACGCCAAATGCCGCCTCCTGGGAGTCGCTCGAAGACGCTCAACACATTGAATCTCTTGTGAGGGATTACATGGCGGTGGAAAGGGCAGAGGATCGAAATACTCCGAGCTGAAAAAGCAGAGGAAGACGAGGCACCAAGAACTTGGTCAAGGGAGAAGAGGAACCCAAACTCCAAAATCCAAGGTCTGAAACCGCAATCAGAAGGGCCAGACATCGCCTTCCTTCCACCGACGCCGACCAAGAGGCAGATGACTACCAACAGGGGGAACGGAGGGGAAAACAATGAATCGATTCACCATGCATGTTGTTGAACCCACCATCTAAAGAGGAGACCTCTAGATGCATAACCCAACTCCAAGGAGAGCAAATCCAGAAAGAACCCTAGAACAGGGCAACGAAAGGCCATAAAGGCAGGAGAAGCTAAAAAGCTGGAAAATCCGATTGAAAAAGGCCAAACCAGTGGCAAGGAAGCATAAAAAAGCAAGGAAGTTGAAAGAAAAATGGGCTACCGCCGGTCACCAAGAGTCTTGGTGACCGGCGGCAACCCCTGCAAAACCCAAGCATAAGGGCTAGAGGAGGAGAAGAGAGAAGACAGAGTAAAAATTTGAAAAAAAAGTAAGAGAGAGAGAGGGGGACTGATATGGTTTTTGTGGGGCTGGAGTTACCTTTCTAGAAGGACACATCCTTTCACAATATTCAAACATTTAATTAATTAATTAATAATTAAACTGCCAAAAGACTCTCATCTTTATACTTTACTTCTCCCATCAATGTGGTATTACAACTCTATTGACTAACTCTAACAATCCCCCACTTAGTAAACAAGAGTTGAGAATATCTGCCTCGAACAAGTAACGCATACATAAAGGTATCTTTTTGATTTGAACCTTTACCTAGTGTAAGCAACTCAAAGTTGATAACGAATCAATGACGGGCTTAAGCCTAGGAGTCACGATCCAAAGCTATAACCGGAGATGCCACACACGTACTTGTCTTTTCTCCAAAAAACACAACCACCAACTAGGGTAGCACTATTATGGCCATGTGTTGATCCTGTTTCATGAGCATACACAAAAGTTGACCTCTACTTTTGTTAGAGCGGCACCACTCTTAATGCTCATATAGGTGACATTCCAAATGAATTCACTAAGAGTTCTATAACTCATATCAAGAGTTCTATAACTCACCCTTCTTTGGACTAATTTACTTGTACAATAAATTAGTACCTCAGTTAGAGTAACTTGTTATTACCACATTGAACCTTTTAATTAGTGAATACATAAAGAAAAGGTTGGGTTCCCATTACTTCTAACATCACAAGAGGTCGCAATCCCTTCCCTTGGGATGTCTCATAGATCATGCTTTTTGGCTATCCCTTGGTAAGAGGATTTGCCAAATTATTGATTGATCTTACATACACAATAGAAATGATTACATTAGTAATCAAATATCTAACTTGATCATGTCATAGGCTAGTAGCTCTAGACTTACCATTGTAAATCTTGTTATAAGCTCTCGACAAAGTAACCTCACTATCACAAAAGACAGAAATGGCTGGCATCGGTTGTGGCCACAACTCTATACTTAACAATATGTCTCTTAGCCATTTTTTCTCTTTTCCAGCTGCCGGAAGGGCTAGAAATTCATCTTCCATGATGGATTATAATACACATTTGTTTCTTCGAAGCCCAAGAAACAACTCCACCCCCTAGTGTAAAAATCTTTCCGTTGTAGATTTATTATCACTAGCATTTGTTATCCAACTAGCATAAAAAACATCTCCCCCCACAATTCTATCACTTGCCGAACTATCATGGAATAATTCCATTTAATTTTCCACGATTTTACTTATTGAACTTTTACAACCACTACAACAAATTCGGCCTATTATGACGCGTCCATTTGGTCATATTAGATACCTTATTTGTCATATTTGACCTTCAATGACAAACGCTTTTGTCACAAGGGTTTGTCATTTTATCGCCGTCAAGATAGATCAAATGTGACAAATTTATGAACAACATTTGTCACATCTGGTGCCGTTATATATGAGGTTCTGGGTGGTCTATTGTGACAAACAGAGAAATTATGACGAATATTGTTATCATTATATTTGTCATAAATTGTTAATTTTTATAAAAGTGTTTGTCATATTAGACGATCATAGTTTGTCATAACATGATTTTGTGACGAACTATGTTTGCCATAAAAGGTTAGTAATTTGTCCCACGCCTATTTTGACAAAATATTTATTTGTCAGGATATGTTTAAAATGTGACGAATGGATCTATTACGACAACATTTTGTGTCATTTATTTTGTCATATTACTGGCTTTGTACTCTTACATCCCACTGTTGTGACTAATTGATTTTGTCATAATTTATATTATGACGAATATCCTTTGTCGTAAATGCTTCTATGACGAATAAATTTTGTCATTTGTGTACATTAGGACGAACAGATTTTGTCATAACTTATGATTGTGACGGGGCGGTTTTGTCGTAACTGCGTTTTATGACAAGTATAGCTCGTCATGAAAGCTGGTTTAATGGACTTCTGTGTAATATGACAAAGTGACAATTTGTCATGGACTTCACAAAATATGACAACTTTCCAGTGTTGTCACATTTGCCCTGATTTACAAAATCCATAATGCGATATTGCATTCTGCCTTGCAACCTAATCATGGAAATATTTCCAACCATTCAAAACAGTACATCCATTTCCATCCCCATAACAGTCTAGCTCCTTGTTCAACATAAACAAACATTCTAAGTTTCACCATGACACAACACATGAAACTCCTTGTTCACCGGTACACAAACCACGGTAACTTTGTTCACAAAAGCAGAAGCTAACATAATTCTAACACCAACAAATAGCTTGCAGTCTCATCTGGGTCTGCAAACCGATGCAGTGTTGTTACCTTGGACTTGGCAGTTCATTTGCGGGGTAGTTGGCGAGCAATCACTAGCACTTGATGCTGTAACTTTTCATGGGAAGCTTTCATTTGGTTCATCACCTCTTCTTGAGTCTCAAACCTCTCCTCCTGGCTCTGTAACTTTTCTACCTGGAGTTGTATCTTCTCGGCCTGGCTTTTTAGCTGCTCTTCTTGACTTTGTATCTTCTCCTCAAACTCCTTAGCCTTTCTCTCTGCTTCAGCTCTTGCTCCCTCCAATTCCGCTTGGAGTTGTTGCTCCTTTGCTGATCTTGGGTTCTCCTTGGGTCCATACTTCAGCTTCTTCTTCAGGACCGTCTGAACAATCTCGCGGCCTGATACAGGCTTCCCCTCTGCCTTTGCTTCTATCCAAAGGGACTGCATCTCCAGCTGCACATTGAACAAAAAGTGTTAATGAAACAGGTGACACGGTTGGCTATGAACTTCTGACAATGAAACAATGCAAGTGATATGGTTGGAAAAAATCAGATTGAAGGCGTGATTAATCACTCTCCTTAGAGTGTTATTTGCCCCCACTACAAATTGCTGGTAGGCTCGAGCAAACCACCCCCAGGAGTCCCTTCAATTTTAAGTCTGGAAGCAGCAATCTTACAGACTTCTGTGTTTGTGAAATAGAGAAGGAAAACCGAAATAAGAAGTTATCTCTCGTCACTAAAAGTGTTATGGCAGTCATCTATTTATAGTGGTGAAAACTGAAAGTTATCTTCCAAAGAGACACAACCTTTCACATAAAAGGTAGTTGCCTTTTCCGAAAGGACACATCCTTTCACAGAAAAAAGGGAGTTACCTTTCTAGAAGGATACATCCTTTCACAATATTCAAATGTTAATTAATTAATTAATATAAAATTAATTAATAATTAAACTGCCAAAAGACTCTCATCTTTATACTTTACTTCTCCCATCAATGTGGTATTACAACTCTATTGACTAACTCTAACAACCTTTGTATAATCGTCCTGGCCAACCTTCTAAACTATCAAAAACCTATACCAAACTTCAAGTAAATTTATTTGGAGTTTAGTTCAAGTCACTATAATCATCTCTCTTTAATTATGGTGTTGTGTTATCCCTTTGAATTTGTTTTTCTAACACCAAACTAATTTGGGTTGGCTTAATTCATAAATAAAAAAAGAGTTGGGTTCATATAAACGGGCTTAGAATAATAACAATAAGTCAATGTGGCAATTAAGATCCAAATTCATGAATCCAATTCAATCCATCCACCAAATTATCCACCTAATCTAATCCATTTAAATCCAATCCATTTGATCCAAATCCAATTGGATTGGTGGATTCATGGATCAATCCATGAATCCAAATGGAAAATTACAATTTGGTACCTATATTTTTTATATTTTATATTTTGGTACCTAAAATTTATATTTTTATACGAAAATATCATTGGGGAATTACATTTTGGTCTCTAAAATTTTTTATTATGACATTTTAGTACCAAAACTTTTCAAAATTTATATTTTGGTCCAAACCTTGGATGTCATTTGAATTTATGGATCAATCCATCAATCCAATCCACCAACCCATAAATCCAATCCATTTGCCATCTCTACGAGTCAATAACTAGTTTTCGTCTTCATCAGCAGCACACACTTATTAAGGCTAGTGGATGAGATAACCAAAGTTTGACAAAGTAGAAAATTTCTCCCAAGTCAAGTCCAAAGTGTCTTCTACTACATTATTATCTCACAAATATAACATCACTTGCTGCGTCACTGCCCCCTCCAAATTCAACAGTTTGCGTTATCATCCCCACAAAATTAGTTTCCGAGTATGTACGTTTACTTTGTACAATTGGGAAGGAAAGTCAACAATAGTAGTTATATACAAGTGCGGACCTAGGGCAATGGGTGGGGTGTCGTCCGATACTCCTCCCCCAGAAAATTTTGTGAATGACCATCATTTTTTCAGTACAAAATTTTTTAATTTGGAACTTCCGATCCCGCTCTAATAATTATAAGCGATACACCTTCATTATACAATAATAGTTTTAATGTTATAAAGTTATTCATCATAATTAGTAATTAACAATAATAAGTAAAATCAAATAAGCATTCTTGTTTTAAGTAACCCACAACCCAATTTAACTTGTCGATTTGTAGCTAATAGGTGAATTGTGTATATTTATGGAAGATTTTGGTTAATTTGGTAAAACTAGAGAAAAAATGCTAATGATATTACTTTAGGCATACTTTGGTTTTTCTAAAATTGCCGTAGATTGTAGTTTACTATATTTGATTGTAAACTAATTTATTTTAACTTTAATTTTAGACTTAGGTTGATTCTCTTTGGTTGAGTGACTAATTTATGAATGATTATGTAGTTGTTTCGAAAAACGTTTGATTTGCAACATAAACAATGAATGTATTTTAAAAAAAGTACAGGATATGAAAAATCGTCATAATTTGTAATAAACATGACATTGTGAACTTATAAATAAATTTCCAATAATTTCAATTAAATATTTATTATAATTTTTTATCAACGAAAACCCTCTTCAATAATGTTGGCCCCCCACTGGTTATATATTTTGCAAACCGTTTCAAAGTTCCATGTAGAATGCATCCATCAATTGACAACTATACACGAAATGTGTTGACCTCTGCGTAGCCCGTTTCTCAATTAAAGAGCGTAATGAAATTAGACCATCTGGGCCACACAGAAAAAGCCATGCAAAGCTTCGCTAGTTAGCTACTTAGCTACATTCGGTGATGGAAGGAAGTTCAACCTTAAGACTTGTATTCCTAACAAGTCCATGAACATTTGCTAACAAGTTTTTCTTGTTTTAAGTACTATGACTAACTAACTAGTTTTTTTTTTGTTTTTTTTTTCATTTTTTTTCATCTTGTATCAATTAAGTATGTGTTATATCGTTAGCGCTTAAGGGTCTTTTATCGTGATAAAATAATTTGTTAATTTAAATATCGCGATTTTTACATTAATTAAAAAATTGATTTAGTGATAATAACATTTATATCATTTCAGGATCGGACTTGAAAGAGGTCAAGATTCTATTTACTTCACGCTTGATCATTTTGGACATGTCAATATTAATGCCTTTTCTAAAATAGCTTCGAAATTATTGAACACATCCATCATGGTAACGCCTTTCATCAACAAATTATATATACCCTTCGCCCTGAGAAAACGTCATTTGTTACCCTTAAACGAGCAATTTTTCGATTTTGCCAAACTTTGAAGGGTCATAACTTTGTGCTTCGTAATCCGAACGTCGCAATTTTTTTTTCTTTTGCATAACTTTTTGAGTACTACAACATTTACTATAAATATATTTTTAAAATAAAAATATTTTTGAATATAAGGGGTTTTCGGAATAACTTTAGCTTTAATTTTCACATTTTCACATATATTCTGAAAATATTTCTTTGATAAAAGTTGTAGTCCTTGAAAAGTTATGCTAAATGAATTTTTTTTGTTACGATCGGATAACCAAGCACAAAGTTAAGGTTGTTGAAAATTTCAAATGAGTAGTTTGTTCGAGTTCACCAAACTCGAACTACTTCAGCCCCACATGGTTCGAGACTTACATCATCGATCTACGTCTAGATCGAGTCTCTTACACTCGAACCAGTTAGTAATTCGAGATTCTCAAATTCTAACCACTCCAAATTTAAGTATTTTGGAGAAAAAATTATAAATATGGTAGTTTAGGAATTCTTTTTAATTTTATGTGTATTTAAGAAATTTTCCCTAGATTGGTGTTTTGTTTTAAATGGAAAATAGTAGTCAACCGGTCACGCTAGAAAAGTCGCCAGAAGAACGTGGTGAGCAAAACGGATGACGACTACATATGACGTTTTACCACTCCCACTCCCACTCTCTAGTCAACTCTAGTCTGGTCTCCAAACAACGGCATATGTCCTCTTTTTTTATATCGAGACATGTGACCAAATTATGCCACTATAATATTCATTCTTCCATTTTCCTTTTTTATTTTAGTATTTGAAATTGAACTCTCGACTTTATGATTCTGCGCCGATCCGGTCTTTCCACCAAGCTTCGCGTCGTGATAAACGAGTTGATAGCTCGATTTCTTTCTGTATGTAGATCTGAACCTTCCCCACTCTGGCACTCTCCCCTTTCCCACTTCCTATATATACCCACACGCTTCCTTATCGCATTTGCTTCATCTCCAAGAAGAAGAGAAACAAACTACGCAAAGACACACAAGCAGAAGAAGAGTTCATCATCCACTTCCCAGCCGGTCAACTTCTAGCCAGTTCCTGCAACGAAGAAAATTTCAACCAAGCTTCTCCGGCCCATGGACTACTCTTCATCGCTGGTCGATGTATCTCTAGATCTCAATCTCAACCCTCTCCGGCGCAACGACGACCGACCCGCCTCCGCCCTTTCAGTTAAAAAGGAGTGGAGCTTCGGCGTACCTTCAGCTCCGGCTAATTTCATGGGACTAGGAATCAACGTTTCTTCCGTCAAAGAAGAAGAGGTGGGTTCTTTTCCTTCCTTCCAAAAACTTCAATTTCGTTCTTGTAAAAAAAAAAAATCTAATTTGAAAATTTTTTCCCCAAAAAATTACAGTCGACGGCGGGGGCTCTGGTGGAGGAACTGAACAGGGTGAGCGCGGAGAACAAGAAATTGACAGAAATGTTGACGGTGATGTGCGAGAACTACACCGCTTTGAGGAACCAATTAATGGATCACATGGCCAGAAACTCTCATCCCGCCGACGAGGCGGCGGCGGTGGAGGAAGAGGTCGAGAAGGAACATAGCCCTTCTTCCCTTTCCCCTGCTTCCTCCAGAAAAAGGAAATCCGATAGCACCACCACCAACAACAACGACAATTACAACCTTCCCTTAGCTACCAACAACAACAATGGCGCCTCGGAGAGCAGCTCCACCGACGAGGAATCCTTCAAGCGGCTTCGTGAGGAAGTCATCAAGGCCAAGATTTCTAGGGTTTATGTCCGAACTGAACCGTCGGATACCGGCCTGGTAAGTTCATCACGTTACTAGACCAAACCCTAATTCCTCCTGGCTTTAGTAAGTTGTGTGGATTGCTGAAAGGTGTTTTCTATTATCAAAATTGCAGATTGTCAAGGATGGCTATCAATGGAGGAAATACGGCCAAAAGGTCACAAGGGATAATCCTTGCCCACGAGCTTACTTCAAATGCTCTTTCGCTCCCAGCTGCCCCGTTAAGAAGAAGGTAAGAGCTTTAGTACTTCGCTACCTAATTCCACATTCCAATTCGTATCTGATATTCTGTTCTCATAGTTAATTGGACTCCCTTGTTGATTCGTGTTTGGGATGTTTTGACTGGTTTTCAGGTTCAAAGGAGTGTTGAGGATCAATCAGTAGTCGTCGCCACTTATGAAGGAGAGCACAACCATCCACACCCTTCAACACCCGAGGCAGCAGCAGCAGCAGCAACAGCAAGCTCCAGCGGCCGCGCCCTGGCCATTGCAGGCTCGCCCTCGCTTGCTGCTGGACCAGCCACCATGACTCTGGACTTGACTAAATCGAAGCCCAGCGTGGCCAGTACTAGTGCAAGGAACGTTGTTGCTCCTTCTCCTAAACCTCTAGCAGGAGGAATTGATGGTCCAGAGATTCAACAATTGTTGGTTGAACAGATGGCTACTTCACTTACCAAAGACCCAGACTTTACAGCAGCTCTTGCTGCAGCCATCTCTGGAAGAATGCTTCAGCGGAACAGTTGTGAAAGGTGGTAGATAGATGGTGGAAATTTTGGAAAGAGTATTAGTTATATTGTGTTTTAGGCTCTTTCTTCTTGCAACTCCATGGTAAGCAATGTGTAGATAAGATGATACTAAGTAGTTTTACAGCACAGAAACAGAGTGATAAAGAAATGGACAAATGAGTATGTTAGATTCTATAGTACTTAGGTTTGTAAAGTGTTTTCAATTGCAGCATTTGGGGCATTTTGCTCTGTAGCTTCGTTGCTTTCTCCATTGCACAGTTTTGAACCGTATCAAAATCCAGTTCCCAAGTTCGATGACAGCCTAGTTCATGTTGAAGTTTCAATTTGGTCCCCTGAAGAAATATGCCACTTGCTTGATGAAGTGTTTGGATTGAGCTTAATAGAAGCGTATGGCTACTAGAGAATGTGGAAATGAACGTAGACGGAGCAAGTTGGGAAGGGAAGCATAAGAGTCTTCTTCTTCGTCTCTTCTTTCTACAATTCTGGTTCACCTAAAACTAGCTGTCCAAAATTGACTGCCAGCTACTGCGAAGTCTGTATCAGTTTTGACTATTGAGTTGGGCTGCTGCTCGTTGTCTTAAAATAGAGAGTTGGTTTGGAAGGACGCGCACTTGTTTCCAATGCCAGACGACAAGTTGCTATGGACCTCATTTGGTCAAATATTATTTGACCCTATGGCTATGGTAGTTGCTTCAGTATAGGGTAGCGGTGAATCCATGGTCTTTTAAGAATGTTAGAGACACCCACGGAAGTTTGAGGTTACGCGAAAAGAAAATAGATGGTAGTCTTTTGCGATTCAAACACGTAATGCTGCAATTACTAGGGAAAATGATATACATTTACATTGCAAACAATTTGTTTTTATAAAACAGGTGCGCCTATGATGACTTACAAGTCACCGTAACTTGCACAATACGGTTGACCGAATCCCCTAAGGTGGTCACTCTAATTTTGTACAAATGACCAACAATAAAGAAGTGGTCGACCTGAAATATTATTAAGTCGATCTTAAAGACGTAAGTTGTCACTATCAGAACCATTTAGGTCGACCTTGCTCTTCCTAGGTCGACCTATCCAACAGAATAATACCAATTTATCAATAAAAAAATGTGTAATACTACCACTGACAGTTGATAGGTCGACCAGACACATTGACCGACCAACCTTTTAAGCACAAAATAGTCTTACAAACAAAGCCAAAGTTAACATTCTGGATAAACAAGCAAAACAAACAGAAACAGTTGACCATGATAAGAATTAGGTCGACCTATTGGGTTTGATCTTCTTTACCTCGCAAGTACAGAAGTTCGAGTGTTGTGCCCTAAATTCAATTTCTCACAATTGTCAAACAGAGGCCGACCTGATTGAAATAAGGGTCGACCGAATGGTCTTCTGCACACAACAAAACATCAAATTAAATGGTGCAAATTACGAATTATACAAGATGGCGCTGATAGCTAAAATAGGTCGACCTCACCTTTCACATGGTCGAACTCTTGAAACACGTACAACAACAACCACAAAGGATCTTCTTCTTAACAAAAGCTCTAACCGTATAAAAAATCAAATTCGGAGTTTTGGTGGCGGTGAAGGTGACATATATTCGTATTTATAGATATTTAGGACGAGATTGAGTCGAATTAAGTGGTAGACAAGTTAGGGTTACCTTTCTGGTGTTGGAATCCTTATCCAATATGGATACGGTGTGCACACGATCGACCTCGTACTTGTCATGTCAACCGTTTATACTATTTTTCTAAATAATCCCAACTTTGATGTTGATCAGTTAATGAAATAAAGGTCGACCTTTTCACTTATGAGGTCGACCTTTTAATAGCAAAATGGTAGGCCTTTGAGATATTTGGGTCGGCCTTTTATATTGTTTACTTCCCAAAGAGGTTGAACATTTGCTTTAAAAGGTCAACCGTGTCATTGAGCCTCAAAAAACTGAAGCAACATATTAGGTCGACCTAAACATATCTGAGGTGGACCGAAAAGTGCAAGTTACGGTGACTTGCAAGTCACCGTAGCAAAGTCCAAAACATAAATGCAATTATACTTTGAAAGAAAGTCCAATTAAACCCAATTCTCCAAATTTTCATCGAAACCCTGAAAATTAAATTCTCTATTCACCACCGTTATGATATTGACGAAGCTTGCATCATTATCAGGTTGGATTGTTTTACTAAATTGGTGATGTGCAACTGCAAGATTTCATCCTCGAGAATGAGTTTTTTGTTTTTTGTTTTTGACAAAAAGACCTTATAAGTATTACTCGATTTTATCCTAATGAGTTTGGTCACTTTCCTGAACTCATTTCTTCTACGACAATGCAGTCAAAAGCGCAATTCTATGCAGAAGTGTTTTGGTGACGTAGAAGCGTAAAACTGTAAGCTTTTAAGTTTTATAGCGCATATTTTGACCTCACTTGTATGTGAAAAGCGTAATTCTACGTAGAAGCGTTTTGGTGATCTATAAACATAAACTTTTAAGCTTTAAAACACTATTTTGGTTGCATTGTTCTATGATACTCTGAGATTTATTATTATTGTTTCAAGAATGATAAGTTACTCCTTGGATTAGAAGGAATTGATGAATTAACTTAGTTTATGGTACTAAAGAAAAAAGGCAATATATCATATTCACTGGACTATTTGTTTCTCAAATTTGTATGATTTTACCAGTTGCAACTACAAGTGTTGAAAGTTATTTTTCAAATTTATGCTAAATAAAGAATAAGTTTGGAAATCTTATAGACAATTAGACCGTAAATGATTGTCTAATATGATTATCAAAAAATGATTGTTGAGCATCATAATGTCTCAGTGTTTTTACGAATTTTTTTTTCTAGAATACGAAAACAAGTATTGTACTAGTCGGATATTTTCAAAATTTTAAAATTTTTGGTTCCACTACTCTGTTGTTTATCCTTTTTGTTACTCCACCACACTTCTACCACCAACTATGCCTTCAATAGCACAAAGTATCTTTAAAATAGAGTGAAGTTCCGAACGGGAGAGTAAATATTGCCGACTTACCTTACCGTAAGGACAGGCAGGAGTGGCATATCCCTAATCCCTCTTTCTTTCATCTATGGCAGTCTGGCTAGTCCAAGTACGGGTCTATTTTCTTTAACGAGGTTGGAAAAGTTAGCTAGAGAGTGAGAATTAACTAAATCACTTAAAAATGTTCTCCTAAAAGGGTGTTTTATTCAATGAAAATTTGTAATATCTGAACATTTTTCCGAGAAGATATTATTCGTTTTGAATCTAGACCCTCACGGATTTAGTCTTGGATGAATATTAAGGTGACTTCCAATAAAATCATCAATCCTTGTAGTGCTTCATAGTGAGCGCGTTTAACTTTGAAATTTACACTAACTCCTCCATTTCACCTCAAAACGTGTCGTGTCATGTAAGATCGGTTTCTTACTTATGAACCATAGATCTCTTTCATGCTTTGGATGAATATTAAGGTGACTTCCAATAAAATCATCAATCCTTGTAGTGCTTCATACTGAGCGCGTTTAACTTTGAAATTCTTACACTAACTCCTTCATTTCACCTCAAAACGTGTCGTGTCATGTAAGATCGGTTTCTTACTTATGAACCATAGATCTCTTTCATGCTTTGTCGACACTAGGTTAATATTCATTACATAAAAGGATAGCCTATTACATAAGGCTTTCTTAATGACATTTTACAACTGTTACATAAAATACACGCTCATTACGTAAAGATTAAGGAATGAAGGTTATTTCTTACGTAACAGTTAAATTTGATGTGTTACGTAAGACTTCTGTAATGACTGACCACATTACGTAACTTTGATTAATATTCATTACGTAAAAGGACAATCTATTACGTAAGGCTTCCGTAAAGACACTTTACAACTGTTTCGTAAAGTATACAACTATTGCGTAAAGCTTACGGAACGATAGTTATTTCTTACGTAATAGTTAAATTAGAAACGGTATGTAAGCCTTCCGTAATAATTTAATATGTTACGTAACGAAAGATTAATATTCATTATGTAAAAAGGGCGTCTATTACGTAACATTTTCGTAATGACATTTTTCAACTATTACGTAAGATAAACACACATTACGTAACCATTATGTAATGCATGTTGTATTTTACGTAATTCAACTTGTGAAACCTACTATAACAGGTCGAAAAGATCAAGTTACAATAGGTTCAAGGTATTGTAGAAATTTTCATTAGTATACGAGCAATATACAATACATATTTCACTTTTAGATTATAAATGAGCATATTGCTCAAATTCTTAAACATCATATGTGGTAATATATATAATCTAATAACAAATGCATGAACTACAAGCCAATGATAAGTTTTTTTTTTATCATTTAGTTCATACTTTGCTTGTTGAGGTGGCTCGCTGGTCATACTGTCGAGCCAGTTCATACTTCAAAATCAGTTATCTCACGAGTTGAGCTCAATAAGCCACCGAATCGAACTGATCGACTCACGAGCCTTACAAGCTGAGCTAGCTCAAACTTGACTCGCTAAGTACACAAATTGAGTATGAAACGAGGATATTCCTAACCGAAGTCGCTTGGCTAAATTTTTCCCCACTTTGTCCTTGTTATAGTAATTGAGAAAAGCATAGGAGAAAGGGAATCATTCGATGTACCCTAGCTAGGTGATTTTAGTCAAATAAAATAACAAGAACCGTCAATCTTGACTTAATGATCAAAGCAATTTCTTGCTGCCTGTCCTTGTTGCGGCCTGTCTGTGGGCTTTACTTCAAGAAGTCTTTTGACAGTTCCGAGCAACAGCCCTACCTCTTCACTTTTTCCGGTCGGTCTCGCGTCTGAGGACTAATCGCACTTTGCTTCTTCTCAATCTTTCTTTGTCTGTTTTCGTTCTCTTTAAGCAAAGTCGCAATCATGGATCCCGATTTCTTTGTTTCTTACTTACTTTTCTCTTTTGGAAATCGGTCCGAGAACACGAGGGAAACTTGCATCTTTTTTCCCCTTCTTCGTGATTTCCCGCCCAGGCCCAGCCATATATATATTCACAGATCGTGAAAGAATGAGAAAGGAAGACCGACTTTTGAATTGGGCCGACCTTGTTTCCGCTGGCCAACACCGCCACCTGCAGCCGCCCGCCCCGGCCGCCGAATTGTCCTTTGCTTGTATTATATAAACCAATAATTTGACGTTGGTTTTTTTTTTGACAACAAACATCATTCATTTCATTCCAACCCAAACAAATGGGAAGAGATACAATTACAATAATGGAGCCACCAGGTCGGCAATGACAATCCATTCCGGAGGAAGGAGATCAAGCCGAGTGTTCCTTGCGATCCAATCAGCCAACATATTGAATCGTCGAGGGACAAACTCAACCGAAATCCAAGGAGAGGCGCATAGAATGGAAACCACACGGGC